TCTAAATTGTTCAAATCATAGCCCCCGTGGATTGGGCGGGGCCACAACGGGGAATCAAAGTTTTACATAGAAATATATAGGAAACATCTTTGAAAATCTTCTTCTCAAGAACCACTGTGCCAGAAAAGCTGAAACTTATGTGGAAACATCATGGGGTAGTGTAGATTCTAAATTGTTCAAATCATAGCCCCCGGGGATTGGGCGGGGCCACAATGGGGAATCAAAGTTTTACATAGAAATATATAGGAAACATCTTTGAAAATCTTCTTCTCAAGAACCACTGTGCCAGAAAAGCTGAAACTTATGTGGAAGCATCTTTGGATAGTGTAGATTCTAAATTGTTCAAATCGTAACCCCCGGGGATTGGGCGGGGCCACAATGGGGAATCAAAGTTTTACATAGAAATATATAGGAAACATCTTTGAAAATCTTCTTCTCAAGAACCACTGGGCCAGAAAAGCTGAAACTTATGTGGAAGCATCCTGGGGTAGTGTAAATTCTAAATTGTTCAAATCATAACCTCCGGGGATTGGGCGGAGCAACAATGGGGAATCAAAGTTTTACATAGAAATATATAGGAAAAATCTTTGAAAATCTTCTTCCCAAGAACCACTGTGCCAGAAAAGCTGAAACTTATGTGGAAGCATCTTTGGATAGTGTAGATTCTAAATTGTTCAAATCATAACCCCCGGGGATTGGGCGGGGCCACAATGGGGAATCAAAGTTTTACATAGAAATATATAGGAAAAATCTTTGAAAATCTTCTTCTCAAGAACCACTGTGCCAGAAAAGCTGAAACTTATGTGGAAGCATCCTGGGGTAGTGTAGATTCTAAATTGTTCAAATCATAACCCCCAGGGATTGGGCGGGGCCACAATGTGGAATCAAAGTTTTACATAGATATATATAGGAAAAATCTTTGAAAATCTTCTTCTCAAGAACCACTGTGCCAGAAAAGCTGAAACTTATGTGGAAGCATCTTTGGATAGTGTAGATTCTAAATTGTTCAAATCATAGCCCCCGGGGATTGGGCGGGGCCACAATGGGGATTCAAAGTTTTACATAGAAATATATAGGAAAAATCTTTGAAAATCTTCTTCTCAAGAACCACTGTGCCAGAAAAGCTGAAACTTATGTGGAAACATCCTGGGGTAGTGTAGATTCTAAATTGTTCAAATCATAACCCCCAGGGATTGGGCGGAGCCACAATAGGGAATCAAAGTTTTACATAGAAATATATAGGAAAAATCTTTGAAAGTCTTCTTAATAGCAACTTGGCCAGAAAAGCTGAAACTTATATGGAAGCATCCTGGGGTAGTGTAGATTTCAAATTGTCTAAATTATGATCAGTGGGGTAGGGTGGGGTCACAATATGTATTACAAGGGGTAAATCTAGTAAAGGACAGAATTGTCATAGCTTCTCAGGTGAGCGATGTGGCCCATGGGCCTCTTGTTTAGATAGAATTTGGCTCTTTATTTTCACCTTTTTAAGTATACATATAATTATTAGGTCTTTCCACCTTTCTGTGGAAAGACCTATTGATATTCTTCTGTTTATTATTCTTTTTTTTTATTATTTTTCCGCCGCATGTTTTTTTGTTTGAAGATATATCGATTGGATTTATAGTTCATAGGAATGTACTCCGTAAAAGATGTTTGCAGTTGACCCTGCGTAAATGAACCTTAACCGCTTTCGAAGTTATTGCCCCTTTCGCAAGAAATGCTTGTTATCGCTACTCCTCAGAAACCGTAAACCGCAGAGGTATGAAACCTTCATGAATGTCTTCGACTAATTTAGGGGACTCTTCAATCTATTCATTGCGAAAGTATTCCATGACCCCTTCAATGAGTTATTGCCCCTGAAACTTTTTGAATTTTACAAATAATTAAAAATTTTCAAAACAAGAAGTCGTAGAGACATGGCACCACCTGCATTAGATTCATTGACCCTTGACCTTAAAATTCATGTAAAGGTCAAAGGTCAAGGTCATTCCAAAAATGAGAAAATTAGCTCTTTTTGTATCTCTTTTGTCTTTCAACATATACTTAATGTCTATGCATCATTTATATGTACTCTTAAAACTGTTTCAAAGATTTCATTCTTGTCCCCTAAAATTAAACTTTTTAAAAGTTATTGCCCCTTGTGCGAAAAACCTTGTTATCGCTACTCCTCCGAAACTGTACACCCTAGAGACACCAAACCTTCACTAATGTCTTAAGGGTCTTTAGACCTAACTTCATTGTATAAGTGCAAAAGAATCTGATGACCCCTTATATGAGTTATTGCCCTTTAACTTCTTTGTACTTACTATTAAATCTTATAACTTGAAAACTATAAGTGGTAGAAGCATGGGGTCAATTGCATTGTGACCCTTGACCTTTGACCTTGAATATTTTTTCAAGGTCAAAGGTCAAGGTCATTCTATTTTTTTTAAAATTTTCATTTTTTCTATGCTTTAAGAGAGTTTTGGTTTCTTTTTCATGGAATTTAATTTTTAGGAGTCAGATATAAAACAGAGTTCAAAGAAGGTGGAAAGACCTCTTATTGTTCTGTGAACAATAAGTCTCCTAGTATTGTATTATAATATTTTAAAAATATTGTTCAAGACATTATTTTAGGTCAAAAGGAATGGTTTCAAGTTCTTTTCTAAATTAACTTTATTTATTTTTTTTTATGTTGACATTTTGCCTGTGACAAGGATCACCTATCGTTTTAAGTTGATGCATCATAGGACCTGATACTAAAAGAAATTGCAGTTTTTTTTAATTTTAAATTGTTTTAGATGCATATTTGCAAAGCTTGAATTACCGTATTTGGCCGAGTATAATACGCATTGATGTAAAATACGCACCCCCCTTTTTGAGTCTGAAACTGGGGGAAAAAACGCAGTTCGGATGTATTATACGCAACAGAAAAATTTACCAAGCGGTGTTCTGAACTTTGAAAATCGCGGTAATTTGTTACGAAAATCGGCGCGAGGATTAAGTGTGAAAAATTTACTGAACACACTTTTTTTTTAAATACACACTTTATAACTTCTCTTAATCCTGACATTCCATATCGCGGCAATCTGGAGAAAATTATTTATTCATTTATTTCAACAAAGTACAAGATAATATTGCGTAAAAGTATTAACGGATTTTTTTAAAGAATAGTTACGGTGATTTTGAAATAATGCATCGCCTTATTCTTAGATGAAATAATTTTATTTCAACAAAGCAAGAGATATTGTCGAAAGTTTTATCAGTTGTCATATTTAATTTTGGTTCTAGATAATCATGCTGAAAATTAACTTACAATATTTTAACAGGAAAGGAAATTGAAACATCAAAGTATTTATTTCTTTAAGAAGACTACGATTTTCCTCTTCTAAATCTTCGCGGATATCTTATTTTCTAAATGATACCACTTTTATTAAAAGTTTTAGCATAATTTATATTTCATTTGTCAACTCTCAATTATTTAAACAAGAGGCCGATACGTATAAGATAAGGTAAAATTACATTTAACAAGTGTTTAATTGTTTAAAGTGCCGTAATCAACACATGCTCACACATACGAAAGGTTATAAACCGACCCCCCCTTTTTAACAAAGAAAATAATCAAAGCAATTAACATGACAGTAAATAATCAGTGCTGTAACTGTAAAAACATTGCTTTGGAGTCGGTAGACAATTAATTGCCCCGAGGGGTGTTGATAGGTAATTATCATTTGACAAGCGCACGTGTGTCACAACATTGGCTTCCTTTCATTGGGACGTATGGAGGGGTGTTAAATATTGTTGCAGATTATCAATGAGTTATTTTAAACCTAAAATTAATATTTATTTTATTGTATTTCATTAAAAAATGATTTATTACTTTGTCTGGCAGATAAGATGCATGTGCACTATCATTACGGAAACACGTGACATAAGCATGAGCTAACGTCTAAAAATAACATCAGTAATGGCGGCCTCCTCGGAGACAATCAACATGCAGCTCAAATTTCTTTTAACTTACTTTTTCATGTTATTTTGGTATCAAAAGATTGTGAAAGTGACATTTTTAAGAAGCATACCTTCCAACAATAACTTTCCGAAGTTTAAAATATGGCAATAAACAAAAGAAATTGCATATGTCTCTAGGTAATACTACGGTATGTACGTATGATAGCCGTGTTTCACCTGAAAGAAAAACTTGTCAAAATCCCATTGTGATGTAAAATACGCATCCCTTTCTCACAGTAATTTATTTTAGGAAAAAAGTGCGTATTGTATTCCCCGAAATACGGTAAGGCCAAAAATCATCAACAACAGTAGTTAATGCCCCTTGTGAGACCTGAATGTGCGTCAGTCAAAAAATAGGTCACAGTGACCTACTTCCAGAATTTTATTTATATTCTTATATTTTAAAGACTTTGGTTGCTATCAACTTTAGAAGGTGCAAACAGTGTTAGTTGATGGGTCATAGAATCTTCACACCTTGGCCTTAACAGAGATACTTAATTTATTTCACAAGCATTTCTACATTCATGGGTCTTTTGTTGTATACTTGGTTATTACTGATCTACAATGAAGTGCAATGAAGTAGTAAAATTTTTTTGTTTGAGTTAGAATTTTGGCTGTTTCTTCTAGAAAATGACATTTCCAATTTTTTTTTTTAGAAATGATAAATAAATGTTCGTTGTGATACTTTATGACATCCCTTCTCTGAGACTAGTAAATATGAGTTGAGATGAAATGGATATTTTATAAAATTAGGAAAGAGAGGAAGAGACTCTGTGCTGTAAAATGTGTATTGCAATGAATATGTACATAATTATGAGTTTACCAGGTTTAATTAGGTTTACCAAAACATGTATTAAACATAAGTTTATTCCTTGTTTATGAAGACTGTCAATTCAATTCATTTATGGAATACCTGTTCTACAAGTATTCCAATGATCCATTTGATCATGGTTTTTCAATTCTTGTCATTAAGACAATCAACGTTTTAAAGAAAGCTCATAAAGTCCCACTCAAATTGTAATTTTACCACTTCAATGCGCTTTATTGTATCGGATACAATCTTTAATCAAGAATTCCATTATCTTCAATATGGATATTTAACACAGCCTTCATTAGTTTAACAAAGTTATACTATGCATACATGCAATGCTGGATATGAAAATGACTGACATAAATGTTAATGGAACGCTTGGAGTATACACCAAAACTAAATAAAAAAGACAAAAGCTTTCATAACTTGACTTAAAAACATGAAATTATCAATCAAGTGTATAGGTAAAAAATACAGAGAAATCCTAAGCTTTACATTTTATACTTAAAAAAAAAATAGTACACTGTCAGAATAGGATTTTTCAATATTATTCTGCGTAGAATAAAAAAAAAAAAACGCTAAGTAGGCCAACTTTAGAAAAAATGTTTGTTTGCTCTCTCTCGACGTGGTCTAAAAATATTGGGTCGGTAGATAGGTCAGAATTTTTTGTTCTCAGAAATTTTAGTTTCAATGTTAAATTTTTAGATTATATTTTCCAGAGTACATATAAAAAACAATTATAGCTTCCTGGAGGTTAAAAAAAAATTTGAGTCCCGCCAATTTTAGCCAGTGGGTAGGGAGAGGGCAATCAAACAATTTTTTAAAGATAGCCCAAAACCAACAATTTTCTGTTTTTAAACAAAATTTGAAAAGAGGTCCATTATATTTAAAAACTTTTATACCCTTGACAATTATAAACTCAAACATAATCATTCAATCCAACTTCAATACTTAATATAAAACAACTGCTACAAAGACTATACTTCTAAAAGCCTTTTGTGAAACAATGGAAAAACAACCATAAAAATTACAGGACATAAGAAAAATTAAAATTTTTCTTGATTTTCAAGATTTTGTATGGAGAATATACACAAACATTTTTTTTGTCTGAAACAAATTTTTCACCAAATCAAGCTGACAAATCACTTTAAAACTACGTTAAATTGTGTAAATACGTACTTTGTACATATATCTGTTCTACAATGATATAAACTTGCTGTTACACTCAGAATTCCTAAAATGATCAGATGAACACATATAATCAAGTAGATGATGGTGGTACCAAAAACATTATCATATGGACAAAAGACTTCAAAGTCAAATGGGGCTTAAACAGTCTTAAAAAATTGAAATGAGCTAAATACACACTGTCAGAAAAATGGCATTGTGAGATCAAAATTTGGGAAATTTTACACGAGAGTAAAGAACCCTTTAGACCCTCGTTTTATAAATCATTAGGTATTATTTTATTTTACATGTAATTGTCAGCTGAAATGGTTACAGTATCATTATAATGGTCAGTTATTTTTAAAAGTTTATCTTCACATAAGACATAAAATTAATATGAGACTCCTGGGCCACAAAGCTCACATGAGTCTCAATTATCTTATCAAGAGGAAGCCATTTGTGGTCATCAAATTAAGGTCCATGATTTCAGCTCCATTTACAGAATATTGAGCCCTAATGTCACAATCAGGTTCTTCTGAATGTCAACAAAACTACATTACGCTGGGAAGCTTAATATCTACAACTTATTGTTGTACTGCTTTTGATATTACATGATTTTTCTTACAAAAGTTCTAGAAAAGGAGAATTTTGAATATTCCATTATTTCTTCCAAAATAAGAGAGTGGCTGTTCATCTGAATGAATTTAAATCAATTTCACTCAAGGATGCTTTGTGACAATTTTCACTAGTTCACTTAGAGAAAAGTTTAACATGTTAAAAATATACAGAAAACAGACTGGATCTTTTTCTCAGAATAGCTCTTTAGTGCCTTTTTCCTCAGCTGAGATTTAAAAATAAAAGAATGATAAGTAATGTGATGATCCATCCATAGACAATGACACTTCACAGTTTATTTGCGCTGCATTTTCTTATTTTTGATGAATTTTCTGGCCTCTTTCTGGAGGTTTTTCACAGTTTGGGAGTCCTCGGGATCATAGTCTGAATCACTGTTCCCAGGATCCTCATATGATCCTGATGACTCGGAACCATTGTCATCATCAATAAAACTGTCATTGTAATCGTAAGTGTTTGGCTGTCCATCATCATCGTCCTGGTCCTTGGATAACACACTTCTCTTAGCTGAAATAGCAACATTATACATTAGATAACAATTTGTTATATCAAATTTCTACTTTCCTTTGCATATATGTAAGGCAAATCTGAATTGAGAAAAACAGAATTTCTCTCCCTTTTTTAAAAAATAAATTAAATATTTTATAGTTTTGATCTTGATCCTGAAATAAATTTACCATGAACTATCCTCAACCTGTTAATAATGAAGTTCCTCTACGAGCAACAAAAAGAAAAGTTCTTTTTCTTTAACTCAATACCTTTAGTTAAACAAGAATAATACCTATAAAAATCAACCGTTTATTATCATGACAATAGACCTTGATCTTTTGCTATCTATTCACATCAACCTGTAGCATAAAGCGTTTGGATTTATTCAGGTACATCACAAAATTGAATGGACAGACATCAGTTATCTTAATTTTTGAGTGACCCAAATGTATGTGACTTTTCCATTCATATACATGATATAGTGATGCATTTTTTAGGTTTTCAAGGCAAAAATTACTTTTGCCTCATAAGTGTTTTACAGTTACAAAATCTATTGGTATCTTGCACAAATCGTCCTTCATCTGATAAAATGACATCATTAATGAACAAAGAAGCAATTAAGCAATGGTGTCACATAAAGTGTTTCAATCACCTTGACCTTTTCCTTCCTTTAATAACTTGTTCTTGACCTCAATGCCTCCTCAATAAACTGTACGTGTTCTTAAAGCAGACTTCTATTTTAGCGGCTTTGGTGCAGACATTGATGTGCTAATTCATGAATTCCGCCAAGAAATCATAATAAAATTTAATACATGTACAATATATAGTGCAGAAGTGTGTAGCGCTTATTCATGAATACGCCAACAACTCCACACCTAGTGACTGCGCTAAGTTTTGAAGACGCTGATTTATGTACATGTACAGTACTTTACTAGCTGAATGAATTACCAGACAACCACCTTAGCAATAACTGATAACTGTTACTGCATCACATGAGAGTGTTTACATCAAACATATTAATCATGTCCTTTGTTCAAGAGATCCTAAAACTTAAAAGTTTCTTCCTTTTTATTTTCTGTATAGTGAATATGAATCTTTGGAAAAGGTGCCCGATTTATCAAAAGTTATTACAATAACATTGTCATGATTTGAAAAATCTTTAATCTATACTATAATTGTTCCATACACTGATAGCAAAATAACTGTGGCCCTGTTGATCTTGTAGAAAGAAAAAGATTGCATTTATAACTTTGTGAAAAAGAAATTGCACTAGTGTTTTTGGTACTGTGAATAAGTTGCTCTATACTAGTTTAAAATTATTTAACACTGCAATAGTAAGGACTCTGTAGAAGTGTATTAGGCACTGCAAAGTATTACAGGTGTATCTAGTAGGAACAGTGATGTACTGAGAGTCAATAGGTGCTGTAAATCAGCTACTCTAGTATACAGAAGCTTATGTGACACACTGACCTTTCTTTGCTGATGGCAGGGATAGATTCATCGTATGTTTAAACTCTCTCAAGTGTTCAGGATTTGTCCTAAACAAGTTAAAAATTCCATAAAACAAAACTCATTTTCTTGCATTGGGGATCAATTTTTACTATTTTTAATCGTTAGTCTAAAAATGAAAAGATAAACTAATTTGGTCTTGGTCTTAATTCCTGTCAAATTTCAAAATGTTATTGTCATTTTCAAGAAAAGGTTGGCATCAAAGTGATGACATTGACTACAAGAATAAAAACATCAAAATGATTCAAGGATATTACTTCCATATGAAGCAATTTCCTAAAAAAAAAAATCATGTATTTAAAAACAATCTGTAAAATTAAAAAATATATATATAAATATTCTTTCAAAGACTTACTTTCTCAAACTGATTAAAAAAAAAAAAATTTGGGAGGGGGGGTTTATTTTTTTTTTCTTCTGAGACTATTTCAAACACCATTTCAAGGGAAATAAAAAATGATTTGTCCTTAAAAATTGTTATTTTATTTTTAGCGAGATGTAATTTTAGCGATATTAAAAAGCTTACTAAAGAAGCTATTACAAATAAGGCACAATTAATTTTTAGCGATATTCAATTTTAGCGATCTTAGCCTCTTCGCTAATACATGTAATGCCAAAATTAAATCCTTGCTGAAAATTCTGCTTATACGGTATACTGATGTAGAGAAGTTTTTTCTCTTTTAACAAGATCTGTTAATTGTAATATTATGGCTAATGAGATGAACATTAAAATGTCCATCTCCTTTTCGTTTTGTAGTATACTCGATTTCAAAAATGCAAAAAAAAATCTTTTCAGTGAATTCTGAGAGAACATACGGCACAAATTTTCAAGCAATACCCAACTTTAAAAAATCCTACACACTCGTTTGTTTTTCACTACATTACAATTTTGTGTCAAGTGAAAAGCATGACCACCACCAATGGTGTTAATGTACATAAGTTAATCAACACAATAATCCTACAAAACTATTAGCTCTGTTTCACTTTTCTGTGAATTGATATAATTTTCACCCCAAAAATCCCAAATATTACCTATGGATCACCTGAGTGACCTTGCAGTGTAACATTAGAATACTGAGAGTATATTTGTTGCAAACAAAATTTTGATGCACTACTACATGTAAAGTGCAGATTACAAATGTAAGCCCAAGAAGTGTCCTTAAGCATTTACCACAGCTTCACATACCATCAAACCAAAGAACAGAGAGACACATGGTGGATTATACTCAGGGAATCAGGAAGTGAACCTCTCACCTGTAACAGTCCGTGCCATACTGACATTCCGGTTTATCCTCGTCACTTGCTTCAAAACTCTCATCACCAGGATGGCAGTAGTCCTTGAAATGTATAGGATTTTTCCTGAAATGAAACCCAGTTTACTATGCTGATAAAAAATGCTACATGAGAAGGGAAGCACTGTGTAAATGGAGGGGAAAACAGTGTAAATTTAGGGAAACGCTTTGTAAATGAGGGAAACACTGTTTAATGAAGGGAAACAAGTTGGGAACACTGTACACTGTGAAATAACAAATTTTTGTGGTGTTTAATTTTCATGGTTTTCGAGGTACAAAAAGACCCACAAATTTAGGTCCATAATGCAATTTTTCACACAAATTACTACTGAACAATATCAAATCCCCACAAACCAATACAGTGGACCTTCACATATCCGGACGCCAGATATCCGGACGCTTCACCTTCCGGACGATTTTTCTCGGGAACGGATTTTTTCAACGTAATTTTGACTCATTTATCCTGTGTCCGCGTTCCGTATCAAAAACGGCTCTTTTTTACTACAAAATGTATTTTTACGTTATAAATTGGTTCATTTATCCGGACGGTAAATTTTAATTTGTACTTCCATTCTTGTCAACATTCACGCCTGAACTGAGTGATAATTGTTATCAAAACATTGGCCGGATTGATTGTTTTTACAAGACGATCACCTGTGACCTGTTATGAATGACTTACGATGATTAAGCATGCTAAGTGGATATGGTCATAATATATACGAGAGATCGATACACAAATGAAAATAAACAATTAACTGTGTTAATTTGGTAACAGAAAATAATTTTCTATTCAGTTATTTGTTATCTGCGAAATATTTATAATTTTAGTACAGAGCTGGTTCTAAATATTTTTCTATTTATAGACGGGACGACATAGTTTCATAATCTCGTAGTCTACACATGTGCACACACAAATCGGTATTGTAATTTTCATCTGTAGATTAGTGGCAGTTATCATGGGGAAAAAAAAAACTAAAACATTCAATCAAATTTGAATAATTTTAGACAATCAATTATTTCGCTTGGGATGATTACTGTGTGATAAAAATATTTATTATACTTGAAAAAAAGTGTAAAAGTAGTGCTGATGTATACTAAAGATATAGTGTTTAAAAAAATTATTATTTCTAAATGATATTATTTATCTTTCTTTATATATAAGAGTTACAATACAAATACAGTATACCTGGAAGAGAAATCAATAGAATTCAGATATCCGGACACTTCACTTATCCGGACAATTTGCCTGGGAACCAAAGCGTCCGGATAAATGAGGCGCCACTGTATATTTATAGCTCAAGTACTGTAAACCAACTTTTATTCACGTGCAAGAAATTTGCACGAGATTTGTGAGAGCCTCGTCATCGTGAATATTTCTCATCGCGAACCGATCCTTTACGTCTCTGTGTCTATTAGCAACAGATCAAAAAAGGCTTAATCGCGAAAATTAATCGTTGTGAACTAGTTTACCCTCATAAAATCGCGAAATAAAGTCGTCGCGAATAAAAGTTGGTTTACAGTACTCTGACCTTATTCAACAAAATTGGTTTCAAGCTACAGTGCATGTCACATTGCAAGTAGTCATAAAAGTAATAGCTACTAGAATATGGAGTTTTCAAGTTCTCTACTAAAATAATTTAATCAAGATTAAGAGTACAGAGAAGGACATAGGAAAATACACAGAGGAAACAAAAGTATTACTTTTTTGATTTCAGGGCATAAATACATGAAGGTTTCCCTTTGGTACATGTATGTTACCTGTAGCATTTCTTCCCAAACTGACAAGGTCTGCGTTTCTTTTTCCCGCCTTCCTTGGTGTCTTTTTTCTGTTTTTTACTGGACGTGTCTTTCTCTGACTCCTCACTCTCACTCTGGTCCTTAGATTTCTTCTTCTTGGGTTTCTCCTCCTCTTCTGAGTCCTCTTCCTCCTCTGAACTTGACTTCTTCTTCTTCCTTCCCCTCTTCTTGATTTCTTCTTCCTCCGATTCTTCCTCCTCTTCTGATTCAGACTCATCTTTCCGCCTTCTTCCTTTAGCTGGTCTTCCTGTTTAATTGATTTATATCTAATGTACTGTTACATTCAATCATTTTTCACTAAAATGTCCACATCTTATTTCATACAGAGAATAATGAATAATGGGGTGAGTGTCTCAAAAATAAGAACCTAGCACAATCATACAAAGGAATATTTCCTTTACAACTTTTTATTTCATAACTAATTTGCATTCCATTCACTAACTGAAGGCTTTAGAGGAAAATGTTTTGACATAAAAAACAAGAGGCCCATGGGCCACATCGCTCACCTGAGAAGCTTTGACCATTCTGTTCTTTACCAGATTTCCCCCTTGTAATACATAATGCATCCCCACCCTACCCCGCTGATCATAAATTAGACATTTTGAAATCTACACTACCCCATGATCCTTCCATGTGAACATAAGTTTCATCTTTCCTGGCCCATTGGTTCTTGAGAGCAAGATTTTAAAGATTTTTCCTATATTTTTCTATGTAAAACTTTAATTCCCTATTGTGGCCCCGCCCTTCCTCCAGGGGTCATGATTTTTACAATTTAGAATCTACATCGTCTACACTACCCCAGAATGCTTCCACATAAGTTTCAGCTTTTCTGGCCCAGTGGTTCTTGAGAAGAAGATTTTCAAAGATTTTTCCTATATATTTCTATATAAAACTTTGATTCCCCATTGTGGCCCCACCCTTCCCCCGGGGGTACGATTTGAACAATTTAGAATCTACACTATACCAGGATGCTTCCACATAAGTTTCAGCTTTTCTGGCCCAGTGGTTCTTGAGAAGAAGATTTTCAAAGATTTTTCCTACATATTTCTATGTAAAATTTTGATTCCCCATTGTGGCCCCGCCCTACCCCAGGGGGTCACGATTTGAACAATTTAGAATCTACACTATACCAGGATGCTTCCACATAAGTTTCAGCTTTTCTGGCCCAGTGGTTCTTGAGAAGAAGATTTTCAAAGATTTTTCCTACATATTTCTATGTAAAATTTTGATTCCCAATTGTGGCCCCGCCCTTCCCCCGGGGGTCATGATTTTTACAATTTTGAATCTACACTATACCAGAATGCTTCCAAATAAGTTTCAGCATTTCTGGCCCAGTGGTTCTTGAGAAGAAGATTTTCAAAGATTTTTCCTATATATTTCTATGTAAAACTTTGATTCCCCATTGTGGCCCCGCCCTTCCCCAGGGGGTCATGATTTGAACAATTTAGAATCTACACTATATCAGGATGCTGCCACATAAGTTTCAGCTTTTCTGGCCCAGTGGTTCTTGAGAAGAAGATTTTACCCTATTTTTGTCTTTTCTTGATTATCTCCCCTTGCGAGGGGATATGTCCCTTCATTTTAACAATTTAAATTCCCATTCATCCAAGGATGCTTTGTACCAAGTTTGGTCAAAATTGGCCCAGTGGTTCTTGAGAAGAAGTCGAAAATGTGAAAAGTTTACAGACGGACGGACGGACGGACGACGGACAAAATGTGATCAGAAAAGCTCACTTGAGCCTTCGGCTCAGGTGAGCTAAAAATCCTGCTATATTTACACATTTCCCTTGGACTATTTCCTGACTTACCTCGACCTTTTTTGGGAGATTTTTTGGAAGGTCTCTCCTCTTCTGATTCCTCTTCACTGTCCTCATCCCGTCGGTAGGATTTGAATTTTTTACTGGCCGACATGCTGGCCCTCCTCTTGGTGGGGCGTGGAACATATTCCTCATCATCCTCATCAGAGAAATCTGACGTATACCGTTTTCTTCTTCCTTGTCGCGCTGACTTCCTAGTGCCTTGCCTCATTGGTTTCTGTTTCTATTTTTAAAAAAAAAAGGAAATAAAACTATCCTGAGAATTTAGTGGAGAAATGTTTTTGAATATTATTTTTCTTTAATGTGATTAAAGCAAGTATTACTTCATTTTGATACATCCTCTGATGCCCATTCTTACTTTAGTTTTCTGTGACATTTCCCAGTCACTGCCTGAGTCCTCCAGACTGTCCAGGTGGAAATCACTGTCCTGATCTTTGTCTGAGTCCTCATCTTCTTCTTCCTCGGACATGTCATCAGGGGCCACAAAATCATCAACTGAAAATACATCATTAATACAAAATCATCAAGTATACATACAGAACATCTGACATCACTTTTACAAAATCATCAACTACCAGCAGAACAAAACATCATTACAACAAAATCATCAACTACCGACAAAACATCATCAGTATTTCTCCTGATCATAATTATACAAAACCAAAATATTGAACTTGAAGTAAAGTCAGAGTCTAATGAAGAGTACAACACTTCTATTTATATCTCTTACCACAGCTGCCTCTTTAACTTGCTGGATGATTCAGATGAAGTGTAAAACACTTTTATTTATATCTCTTACCATAGCTGCCTCTTTAACTTGCTGGATGATTCAGATGAAGTGTAAAACACTTCTATTTATATCTCTTACCATAGCTGCCTCCTTTACATGCTGCGGACCGTGATGGCCGCCCTCTATTTATATCTCTTACCATAGCTGCCTCCTTTACATGCTGCGGACCGTGATGGCCGCCCTCTATTTATATCTCTTACCATAGCTGCCTCCTTTACATGCTGCGGACCGTGATGGCAGCCCTCTATTTATATCTCTTACCATAGCTGCCTCTTTTACATGCTGCGGACCGTGATGGCCTTCCCCTCCAGCTGGTGGACTGTTCGTCGTCAGACTGTTTTCTTCCCCTGCCTTTTTTCCGTTTCTTTGGTTTGGTATGTTCATCCTCTGAGGACTGCCTCCTCTGTCTGCCTTTCTTTGGTTTGACTTCTTCCTCAGATTCCTCACTTTCTTCTTCCTCCTCTTCCTCACTGGATTCAGCATATTTTGATTTCTTTCCAGCCCTTAATTTAAAATCAAAAGGACTTTTTATGGCACAGTATGAATGTAAATTTTAAATGTGTTAATACCTCATTAGGAAATGATGCACTCATCTGCATTTTATTTACTTTCTAGTGTTTTCTTTCTTTACATTTATATTTTGTCTTACCTTTTTGCATTTACAGTTTTGGCAGAATTGCCGCCACGACCTTTGCCCTTAGGTTTGACCTCTTCTTCCGATTCTTCTTCCATCCATTCATCTTCTGATTCTGCCTTCTTCTTCTTTACTGGTGCTGAAAACATAAAAAAATATTTTAGAGTGAGTAAACTTAGCCATTTAGCAAAGGAACATAAAATAAGAACTTGCACGTAGATACCTATGAATTTTCACCCTATACACGTACTATACTGGTCACAATGCAGTCCTAATTAGTGACACAAGATAAACTGTATCACTTCTTTTCTTCCTTTTTGCAAGTTAGACAAGAGAGAAGAGAAACATGCATCACACATACTTTAACCCCCCCCCCACACACACACACACATACACAGTCAATAACACAAAATTTCAAGATACTGTAAATCACTTTTTATTTGCTGGAACTTTATTTTCACGTAATTACGCGAGACAATGAGCTCGTGAAAATTTTATTCTCCCGTATTTAAGTATTCCTTACGATTATATAGAGGAATAACAACAACTTGTGAAAATTTTGTCTCCCTAATAAAGATTCAATGACTGTCTCGTGAAAATAAACTGTCGCGAAAATTTAGTGATCTACAGTAGTCACCAAAATTATTTGGTCAGAACACCCCAATGAACATTCCCATTCAATTACCCACAAGATTCATAAACATGAGGTTTGATGGCCTTTTAAACAAATTTGTACAAATTTGTACAAATTATACCACCTTTGAAATGATC